TGGAAAGATGAGGTGATTTAAGACATACTTAGAAGTAGCTTCAATGGAATTTATAATGATTCAAGTGATTGGAGCTGTGGTCAGGGGTGGAGCAGTATTGGATGGCACTGTCTGGAGGAGCAGCACACATGTGTGACTAGAGTGGACATGAAAGCCTCTGGACTTGAGGCTTGGTTACTGGCTGGTCATTGACATTACCCAGCTTGATGGTGGAACTTTGTGAATCAAACACCAAATTACAGAATGAGTGTCAGGCTGCTGTCAGTCATTTTGAGGGGATGGGCAGATGACAACCAGGAGGGAAGGTTAGAAGGGGGTATATCCACATGGTATGTGACCATCAAGGGAGTACACCTGGCATAGGAGAATTGGAAGAATGCTCAATGCAGGAGCTTAATAATGTTTGTTGATCTAAATCCATGAATTTTGGTGAATATTATTAACCTGCACAGTTATGCTTTTGAGCTTAGTTGGATTGTAGGAAAAATGAGGTTAGGAATGTAGGGGGATGGGTCTGGACTGCAGAGGTTAAGGATGCTTATCTCTCTGAAATCTCTTTCTGTTGACACAGCAATTTCACATGTATTTTCTAATTGGATCCTTGACAAGTCTGAAGAGTAGTTTCATTCGTGTTTTGTAGGTGGGGGCAGTGAGGCTTTGAAGCGAAGTGACTCGTGTAAGGTCTTACAGCTACACGGCTTGTGAATGACACAGGCAGAATTTAAACTAGTTCTCAACCTAGAGATTTTCAGTTTCCCTGCTGTCAGTCTGTAAGTTCATCTGCTGCAGCTGCCATATTAAGAGTGAATTCTCTACTTCTTCTCAGTTTTGCGTACATTTAAGAAGTGAGGTAGTCGGGGGGTGGGAGGGAGAGCACAAGGGACCAAAAGTAGTATATTGGGGACAGAACAATCAATTGGGGTAACATCTAATAGCAACTCCGGCTGAATATGCAGCACTGAAATTGCATAGAACATTCTCACTTAGGGGAAGTGACTGTATTTCTCCAGTAGGGTCTGGACGTAGGACAACATCTGTTGGATGTGGAGAGCTCTAGGCTTTATTTCTCAATGAACGCTTTTTTGATAAAGGCTTAGTAAGCACTACTCCGTGCCAGGCACTGTGTTAGGCACTGGGGATAGACAAGTGAATGAGACCAGTTCTTGCCACTGAGTAGCTCATAGGTTCTTTCCTTGTCCTTACAGTATAGTGGGGATTGCAGCTGCCGAGCAGGGATTCTGGGAAGCACTGCGCACCTGAGCCCCCAGCATGGCGGGCCTAAAGCGGCGGGCAAGCCAGGTGTGGCCGGAAGAGCGAGGTGAACGGGAGCACGGGCTGTATAGCCTGCACCGCATGTTTGACATCGTGGGCACCCACCTGACGCACAGAGACGTGCGCGTTCTTTCCTTCCTCTTTGTTGATGTCATTGATGACCATGAGCGTGGCCTCATCCGAAACGGACGTGACTTCTTACTGGCATTGGAGCGCCAGGGCCGCTGTGATGAGAGTAACTTTCGCCAGGTGCTGCAGCTGTTGCGCATCATTACTCGTCATGACCTGCTGCCCTACGTCACCCTCAAGAGGAGGCGGGCTGGTGAGGGTGCATTGGGGGCCGGGGACACAGGAATCTGGGCAGAGCTGTGGGAGGCCGGGACTGAGCAGCGTAGGAGTCCAAGTGGGAGGAGGTGTTGACCCTAGGGGGTACCTAGGACAAGTTAGGAGGCTCCCTGGAGGGGGAGATTAGAAGGGGGGGTGGATCTTTTCCTGAATGACTCCCTCCCCTCCTATAGTGTGCCCTGATCTTGTAGACAAGTATCTGGAGGAGACGTCAATTCGCTATGTGACCCCCAGAGCCCTCAGCGATCCAGAACCGAGGCCTCCACAACCCCCCAAAACAGGTAAGAAAATATTAACTCCTCCTAATTTTTGTATTCAAGAAAGAAGAAACCAGGGGCGCCTGGCTGGCTCAGTCAGTAGAGCATCTGAGTCTTGATCCTCGGGGTCGTGAGTTCGATCCCCGTGTTGGGTATAGAGTTTACTTTTAAAAAAGGGGGGTGTGCCCGGATGGCACAGTTGGTTGAGCATCCGACTCTTAGTTTCGCCTCAGGCTGTGATCTTAGGGTCCTGGGATCGATCCCTGTGTTGGGTTCCATGCTCAGCACAGAGTCTGCTTGGGATTTTCTCTCCCTCTGCCCCCCCCCCTGCCCCCACGTGCTCCTGCGTGTGCTTTCTCTCTCCCTCCCTCCTCTCTCGCTTTCTCTAATAAGTAAATAAATCTTTTAAAAAAGGCCGGGCGTGGGGGTGTGTGGTGGCTCAGTCAGTTGAGCATCTGACTCTTGATTTCGGCTCAGGTCATGATCTTGGGGTCGTGGGATCGAGCCCCGGGTTGGGCTCCTTGCTCTGTGGGGAGTCTACTGGAGACTTTCTCTCTTTTCCTCCTCCTCCCTCTGCCCCTCCTCCCTGCACACACACACTTTTTTTCTCAAATAAATAGATAAATCTACAACAACAACAACAACAAAACCCTGCACCACATGTTTGACATCGTGGGCACCCACCTGACACACAGAGATGTGCACGTTCTTTCTTTCCTCTTTGTTGAGGAAAACCCGTCATTTTCCCAGCTTTGCCAGCCTGAATGAAAGTACACTGTGTCTCTCTCACTGCCCCCCCCAACCCCCCCAGTATCTGGCCCCCATGAAAATCAGGTGAGGTATTAATGCTTCACCTGCGTCCTGTAATTGTCCCCACCTTCTGTCTTCTTTTCAGGTCACTTTATTGATACCGTTTTTGGTGCTAACTCTAAAGGAGTCCTTTCTCATTCCAAGGGAAGTGTTTGCATTTCTGCTTTTACTCTATGATGTTTTTTTCCCTTTTACTCTCTGATCAGTGCCTCCCCACTATCCTGTGGTGTGCTGCCCCACTTCGGGCCCTCAGATGTGTAGCAAGCGGCCAGCTCGAGGGAGAGCCACACTTGGGAGCCAGCGAAAACGCCGGAAGTCAGTAACACCAGACCCCAAGGAAAAGCAGACCTGTGGTGAGGAAGTTGAAGAGTTCTAGAGGCGGAGCGACCTGAGGGGGCGACAGAACTGCTGAGACACCGGGCAGTGCAGGGCTCGTGTTGAATGCTTGAATGATGTGGTGGGATTGAATGCGTTAGTCCCTTGGGAGAGAATTCCTCTTTGTGGCAGAGTACCTTTCAGCTCTTTCTAGTTAATACTACATCAAAGGGATGCTGTTACAACATCTTTGTTGTAGGATGAACCAAGCATGATCGAGTACTAAAATGAACTTGTGTGCCTGTTAGTTAGGAAAAGATCTAGAAGTTAAGGTGCTGCTTGTGAGCAGTAGTGATAATCTGACCTGGGCTTGGCCCATTTAAGGGAAACTCTTGCATTCAGGCAAGGATTTCAGGGGTACATAGAAAAGAACTAGTCCCGGGGGATGGGCAGAAAGGCTGGCAGGCGATGCGCGCAACTTCACTGCTCAGCTGTTCGTTTCCACCTTTTGAGCATGGGTTGTCTCGCCCCCTCCGCCCCCCTTGCAACCACTCGTGCGTGTCTTCTCTTCCCCACAGACATCAGACTGCGGGTGCGGGCTGAGTACTGCCAGCATGAGACCGCTCTGCAAGGCAACGTCTTCTCTAACAAGCAGGACCCACTTGAGCGCCAGTTTGAGCGCTTTAACCAGGCCAACACCATCCTCAAGTCTCGGGACCTGGGCTCCATCATCTGTGACATCAAGTTCTCTGAGCTCACCTACCTCGACGCATTCTGGCGCGACTACATCAATGGCTCGCTGCTAGAGGCGCTTAAAGGCGTCTTTATCACAGACTCCCTCAAGCAGGCTGTGGGCCACGAAGCCATCAAGCTGCTGGTGAACGTGGATGAGGAGGACTACGAGCTGGGCCGGCAGAAACTCCTGAGGAACTTGATGCTGCAGGCACTGCCCTGACCTTCCCCTCTCACCTCTTGGAGGACTGTTCCCACCGCCCGCCTCTGGAGCTCACATACTGTTCTGGGGTTGGTTCTCTGCCCTTCCGACCGATCACACCCCTGCCTTTTTTTTTTTTTTTTAAAGGAAAAGACGAAAATGGAAGTGGTGTTCCCCAGCCCTCCCTGCACCCACGTGCCTGGGCCTCCCCTTTGTTTCCCTTTTCCACGTACCCTCCTAATGTGTCTCTACAGCCACCTTGCCACTGAGCCGTAAGACAAACGTAGAGGGAGAAGCAGAGGCTACAGAACGTAGTCTTTGTAAGGGATGGAAGCGAACACTGCTTTTGGGTGCGTCGCGGGGTTATCCGTGCTTCTGGCTTTATGAGGGCTCTTCAATTTTGTCTGAAAAACCAAAGGGCTGTGAGTAAGGGAGCTGTGTGGAAGGTGGGACTCTGAAGTGTATTTTGGAAATGAATCACCACCCTCTCCCAAATTATAGAATTTTTAAAAAACGAAGAAGCTGTGGCCCTTTCCGCTCTCTCCTGGCCTCTGGTGCTGCTCCTCTCCGCCCCGTTCCCTCCGTTCCAGGGCTTCAGACCTCTGGTGCGGCTCCGTCCTTTGTCCCCTTTGCCAAGCCCTCTTCAAGGGAGGACTGGGTCAGCCGAGTTGCCCCTCCCGACAGGGCGGACGGAGAAGGGGGTGCTGATTAAAATACACTCCCCCCTGAGAAGGGGAAGGGGGAGTGTGAGACTTCCCTTCCATGTTCAAGTGAAAATAAATCATGTACCCTGCAGCCCTTTCCCCTTGGCTTTCTTCTGGCTTGGGCAAAGGGCATAACAGGTGAGAGTGAAGTCATTCAGTGTCACCTCCTGTCTTCTCTTTCCTTCCCCATTCTATCCCACTCCCAAGCCTCGGAGCGCGGGGCTGGGACATGCACGGAGTGTTGCACTTTTATTTGGGTAGGGAGGCATGTCGAATGAGCCAGGAGGCCTAGAGCTGGAGCCTAGTCCAGCTTGGTACACCACCACCTCCCCTTTCAGCTCCCAAAGGAGATGCCCAGACACAGACTTTTGATGATTATATTTTTTCCAATGCCAGTGCTGCTCAGCCCTCAGCATAACTTCAGTTTTCATGAAATAAACAGTGACTATATAAAAGTCCACCTTTCTGAAGCTGAAATCTGAGCTCAGGTGAAAGTTTCTTCTTTCCCAAGAAGCTGAGCCTGTGTTCCATCGAGAAAGTCAAGGTTCTTCAAGTGAGGGGAGCTGCGCCTGGGCCCTGCCTTCAGGTCCCGGCCACGCCAGCCCACAGTGGGAGTCTCAAGTCCCAGAAGTCAAAGTCTTAAGGCAGCGGGTGGCCCAGAGTGCCGTAGAGGTCGGGCCTGCGGTGCTCGAACACGGGCAGGTGTTGGCGCAACTGCCGCAGGTAACGCAGGTCGATTCGGGCAAGGCAGAGGCCTGGTCCTTCAGGACAGTGGGCCACCACTGTTCCCCAGGGATCCACCACCATGCTGTGGCCATAGCTTGCTCTCTTCTCGTGGTGGCGCCCACACTGTGCTGCCGCCACTACGTAGCACTGGGTTTCAATGGCACGGGCCCGCAGCAACACCTGGGGATGAGGAAATGTGTGTTCACTTAAGAAGGTAGCATCTAGTGGGAAATTGATAGGTGATGAACATTACAGGCCAATCTACTCATTGTGACCATTCTTATAATTGCCTGGGAATGATTTACTATGTTAATTATTCTTTAACATCACGAGAGGCAACAATCTAGGGAATGAATTTTCCCACTAGGTGGAGAGGGAAAGAAAATCCTTCAGCTAGTAGGGCCAAGGGAGGAGAATGAAGTTAAAAGAAGGCCTGTATGTGTGTGTGTTTAAAGATTGTTGGGTTTATTTGAGAGGGGAGAGGACACAAGTGGGAGGGGCAAAGGGAGAGAGAATCCCAAGCAGACTCCGTGCTGAGCGCAGAGCCCGATGAAGGGCTCGATTCCACAACCCCCAGATCATGACCTGAGCCAAATCAAGACTCGGATGTTCGACCGACCGAGCCACCCAGGCACCCTGAAGTCCTTTATGTTTTGAACAGGGGTCCTCTTACCTCCCAGTGGGCTGGGCCTGTAACAGATCCAAAAGCTGAAGGGTAGGTAAGTATTTCTGCTCCAGCCTGAGCCAATGCCAGAGAGAGTTCAGGAAACCGCATATCATAGCAGATAGCTAGACCAATCTGGAATGAAAAACAGCCTAATACCCCTGTCCTGTTTGTCATAGCATCTAGTCATACCCACCACCTACCCCACTCCTTAGGGCTTTCCATCCTCTATTACTTTGAGTATGTTTATTCTCCCTCTTGTTTCTCTTCCCCGCCTCGTCCTTTCACAACTCCCACCTTGCCTACTGGTGTGCTGACCGGAGACTCAAGACTGGGCCCAGGAATGGTAGAGTTGCTCTCATGCATAGGCCCCTGTCCTGGAATCTCCACGTCACACAGATGGGTCTTCCTGTAAGTGGCCACTACTGACCCTGGAGGAAGAGAAGGAAGACTCAGTGCTGGTGCTCTAGAAGCCCAGCTTAGTGCCTGTGCTCCCAGGGAGCTAGCTTATAAGCTAGAATCAGAAGCACAAACACCCTGAAAACTCCTGACCAAGGAAACTGAGTTGAGAACCAATTCTGGAGAATGTTAGTTTAGGTAGAAGAGCCTGGAAAGAGACGGCTAAAAAGTTACGAAGTCTCACCCTTGTTGTCCAGAAGCACATGACAATTGTAGATTTTCTGAGTCTGCTCCCAGTCTTGGCCTCGCTCATGGAAACCACCCAAGGACAGCCAGAGTCCACATTCCCTGGGGGAGGGAAGGCAGAGGGGAGGAGACAAACTGACAACTCTTCTCAACGTTCTACCCTCCTATCTGCCAATTCGGGGACACTGCCCAACAAAGAAACTACCTTTCCCTCCCCCTTTTCCCGATACCTGGCAAGCTGGGTATATTCTCCCAGAAGGTTCCCACCCAGTGGCTCAGACAGGCGTAGTGTCTCTGCGGGGTCCCTTGCAATGAAGTCAAATGCCTCAGGCAGGAAAGCGAGGCAAGCACCCAGTCTGGCAGCCTCTCGAACAAGCTCAGCGCATGTTTTAAAGTTCTCCTGTTTGTCTGGTGTTGATGTTACCTGGCACACAGCCACCAGCGGCAGTTCCCAGGAAGAAGAGGAGATAGCCATGGCTCTGGGCCTGTGGATGGCACAGGCAGGACTCAGATTTCCCAGCATGGGGAAATGGAAGTTTGTTTTTTTTTTTTTTTTAAGATTTTATTTATTTGAGAGGGAGAGAATGAGAGATAGAGAGCATGAGAGGGAAGAGGGTCAGAGGGAGAAGCAGGCTCCTGATGCGGGACTCGATCCCGGGACTCCAGGATCATGACCTGAGCCGAAGGCAGTCGCTTAACCGAGCCACCCAGGCGCCCCGGGGAAATGGAAGTTTAATGATAAGGGTCTCAAATGGGGAGGCAGGAGGGCTGCATGGCCCTTTGATTTCTCCTCCTGAGGGCACCCACTGATGAAATGTTCTGTGGATGGTTGGCACCCCAGTGTTTCCCACCATCTATTCTTTTAACAAACATTTCTTGAGCATCAATTAAGTGCCAGGCACTGAGGTCAGAGCAAAACACGTTACCTGGGCTGTGCACAAAGTACTGAGAGTCGAGGTATCTGGAGTCCAGGACACAAAAGAAAGGACAGGAACTGGTGAGAAGGTCTGACGATGAAGCCCAGCCTGAGGAAGGTGAGAAATCAGGACACCAACCGCTCCCTCAAGCAGTATATTTCTAGGATTCTCTGACTTCTCTCTTCATACTGTTTGGCTGAATCAGGGCCCTCCCAGTAAAACACCCTAAGTCTTCAAAACACTCTTTAGTGTAAGTAATTATGGGCTACAGGAAGAGATCACAAAGTGGGAAGATGGAGGAAAGGGCTTTGCTCGGCACCTGAATACCTCCACTTCCAGGGATTGCATACTAAACTGAAGCCCTTTTCCCCAGCGGATCGTATCCGCGGTTCAAAAGTCATCTCCAAGAAACTTCCTTGCTTTTCCCAGCCTCTCTTCTTGACTGTGCACCTGCTCAGCTTTACTGCTCAAAGCGTATTTCCCCCCCTTACCCCAGAATCTCGGAGGGGAAGTTCACCTTCCCTCGTTCCCCACCACTCCGTGGAGGGCAGAGGGCACTGGCACCCACGCAGATCCCAACCCGCGTCTCTACTCTCCGGTTAACCCGTCCTTTCCACCTCTCCCAGGGACAGTGTCTCTGTTGCACAAGTTAAAGCACCGCAGGTGAAATTCACCGCGGCGGGCGGGATAGGTAGGAGGTCCTACATGAAGATAGAGCCAAAACCATCCGCAGGATCCGAACCGGAGAGCGAAGAGCCGCCTGGAAGCGGAGGCCTCGGGGCGAGTGGGCGGTAACTCGCAGGCCGGATGTGACGCACGGCGGGGCGGAGCTACGCACGCCGGAAGCCCAGCAGGCGGCGAAGATGGCGGAGAGCAGCGGTCGCGCCGGCAAGAGCAGCGGGAGCGGCGCGGGGAAAGGGGCGGTGTCGGCGGAGCAGGTGAGGAGCGGAGAACCCGAAGGAGGGCAACCGGGCCGAGTCCGGAATCGATGCGAGGAGACGGGGGAGCCTGTGGCTGGTGCAGGCCTCACTCCGGTCTCACCTTTGCGAGGCCGCCCAGAGAGGGGAGGGTCCTTGGAGAAGCTGGCGGAGCCCCCGGGGAGAGAGCCGGAGAGTTGGTAGGTGAAGGCCACGCCTCCCTTGGGGTGTTGGGTGAGCCCGCAGGAGGCCGAGCCCCGAAATGCGGCGTGTGAGAGGATGCACTGTTGTGAGGGGAGATAGGTCGTCGCTTTCCCCACTTCTCCGCACCCTCAAACAGGATAGGCTGGGCCAGGCGGCTCGCAACGAATCCCGGGGGATTAGTCAACGGGCTGGTGGTGTGGTCTGTTACGTGACCCTGAAACGACGTTGACAGTCGCCCTCACGCTGCAGAGCCACGTGACTCACATACTTGAAGAGTCTAGTGTTCCATACTATTTTGACTCGGAAGTCCTTCTTAGATTGGATTTCTGTAGCGGCCAGAAACCCTTTTCTAACCCGAGTTTGCATTTCCCCCAGTGTCTAGGATCGGGAAACGTTTGATAAATAACTCCGAAAGCCTTCTGTGGCGTGGGAGCCATAGTTTGCTAATGGTGGGGGCTAGTGTTTAATAGAGGTGGGAAGAAATCTACATAATAGAAAGGAAAACATAAACAACAGCTCTTTTAATTACAGGTTCACTTATCAGTTATTTGTCGAACAGTTACTACAGGCAGAGGTGTCTGCATAAAGATTTTTCAAAGAGCTCATAGTAAAATAAGGCCTACAAAATGCTAACATGAGGCAACGGATGAGTGTCCTAACAGGTATAAAGTGCTGTGGGAATTTGCGGACGGGGGAAAGGATAGTTTCTGCCCCCAGGTGGGGGGGGAGCGGTTGTGGTGGAAGGGAAGGGAGAAGGAACCTAATATTTTCTGAGGCTCTACCATGTGCTAGGCCCTCTGCTTGGTACAGGAAAAGATAACATGAAATGACCTTGTTTTCAAGATTGCTCACGGACTCATTTGAGAAAAGACAAACCAAACAGTAAAGATGTACAGTATTCCACACAGGCCCCTCTTTATGGTAGCTAGAAGAGGGACCCTCTAACTAAGCAGGAGGTTATGGGATTTGAAGAGTGGGTGGGAAACGGGAGCTGTGGTATAGTGGGGTGGCTAAGAGCGTAAGAAGTGCCCTGGGGTTTGGCAGATTTGTGCTTGAATCACATTTCTGCTATTTATTATGTGTAGATGACCTCCTGTGAGTTACTTCTCTCACCTTGCCCTCCTGTAAAAATATAATGGTGCATACTTCATCACTATTTTGATTATTAGACAAGAAATGCATGCAAAGTGTTTTTGCACAGTGACTGGAATATAGTATGTTTGTTTTTCTGGAAGACATAATCCTTCAGTTCAATTCTAAAGGATGAGAGAAATTAGTCAAGCAAGAAGGAAGTGGAGAATTTCCTAGGTAGAGGGACTCATATGCTTAAAAGCACTGAGGCATGAACCTGCCTGGCATGTTTAGGGTGCAGGTAGACTTAAAGTATGGGATGGAATGCAAGCCTTCAATGTAAAGAAAAAGGAATAGGAATCTAGGATGTTTCTCAGATTTCTGTCTTTGATAGATGCTGGTGTCATAGGGAATGTAGGAAGACAGGAAATGTTGGGGGAGGGGGCTGGGGAATAAGTTTATTTGGGGGTTTTGAGTTTGGGTTTCTTGTAGGATGTTCAAGCAGAGACATTTTTAATAGTCGGTTTGACTTACAAATATTGAGTTACAGAAATCCGAGTCAGAGATACAGATTAGAGAATTAGAAGCTTATGGATGGTAGACAAAGTCATAGTTATGGGCAAAATCATCTAGGGTTTGTACAGAAAGTGAAAAAAGAAGCAGAACAAGGGTGGAACCAATATAAGGGGTTATGGAGAAAGAGAAGAAGCCCTCAAAAGAAACTGAGCAGTTGTGGTAATTGAGTTCTGAGGCTGTTCTTGCTTAACAATGTGTGGCCTTTGTGTTCCAGAGAGAACACTGGGTAAAAAATACTAGATTTATTGGGGTGCCTGGCTGGCTCAGTAGGTAGAACATGTGGTTCTTGATCTTAGAGTGGTGAGTTCAAGCCCCATGTTGGGCCTAGAAATTACTTTAAAAAATTAAAAAATATATATATATGATTTATCATTCCTGCAAATGTGAGCTACATATGTCCCTTATAAACAAGATGGAAGGAAGTAACACATTGTACTAGGTACTCATTTTTTCTTCTGTTACTTAATTACTGCCATTTGGAGTAGGTTATGTTGTTCTCCCTTCATAGGTAAGGATATTTGCATTTCAGAGACTCTAGTTAACTTACCCAAAGTCAGTAACTGGAAGAGCAGGGCTTTCACTTGAGTGGGTGATTTGAGAATCAGACAGACATATTTTTCCATGTATACATGATCATATTAAAGATACTTGAACTGAGCCTGAAGGAATGGGTAGATTTGAACAGGTGGTAATGGAAATAGAACGTAGGGAACACGATAAGAAGAGGAGAGCTAGACTGGGAAGGCGCAGGCTGACATGAGGTGCGGGGACTGGCGAGTTTAGCTAAATCATGAGGTATAAGAAAGATGTGGTGCTTAAAGCAAGCTGAGTCTTTGCGTGGCAGAGAATTTGGAACTTTTTTATTTTATTTTATTATGTTAGTCACCATACATGACGTCATTAGTTTTGGATGTAGTGTTCCAGGATTCATTGTTTGCATATAACCCCCAGTGCTCCACGCAGCACGTGCCCTCCTTAATACCCATCACCAGGCTGACCCATCCCCCCCTTCCCTCTAGAACCCTCGGTTTGTTTCTCAGAGTCCATCGTTTGTCATGGTTCTTCTCCCCCTCTGATTCCCCCCCCTTCATTTTTCCCTTCCTCCTATCTCCTTTTTTTTTTTTAAATATATAATGTATTATTTGTTTCAGAGGTACAGGTCTGTGATTCATCAGTCTTACACAATTCACAGTGCTCACCATTAGCACATACCCTCCCCAATGTCTGTGAATTTGGAACTTTTTAATGTAAGCAGTGAGGGAGTCACAGAAGGATGTATGGTATGCTGTTGTTATTTTTCTTTTACATAAAATAAGACATGTTCATTGTGGAAATGTAGAAAACACAGGAAAAAGTACAAAATAAAAAATAAATTGCCCATGATCCTAGTATCCAAAGATAACTACTATTACCATTTTGGAATATATCCTTTGATAATACTCCAAAGGAGGTTTCTCCCCCTCCTTTATGTTTTTGTATGTTGTGTAGGTGGAAAGGGAGAACATGTCTTCTTTACGTATTTATATACTTTATAATATTAGTGTTATACAATGTATACTTTTGTAATCTGTGTTTGTTTTGTTTTTTAGAGGTTTTATTTATTGGAGAAAGAGCGTGAGCGAGAGAGTGAGAGAACGTGAGCAGGGGGGAAGGGCAGAGGGAGAAGCAGATTCCTTGCTGAGCAGGGAGCCTAATGCAGGGCTTGATCCCAGGACCCTGGGATCATGACCTGAGCCAAGGGCAGACAGTTAACCGACTGAGCCATCCATGTGCCCCTGTAGTCTGTGTTTTAAGTCTAATATATCATGAACATTTTTCTATGTCATCCAAGTATTAGGAACATTAAGTTACCAGCAGTGTATAGGATGAATTTGGAGAGCCCAAAAATAGGGAGATAATTTAGAAGACTACAGGAGTAGTTCAGACTCCATGGGTAATGAAGGCTCGGACTAGGGTGATGTCAGGGAGCCTAAGAAGGGGCGCCTGGGTGGCTCAGTCGTTAAGCGTCTGCCTTCAGCTCAGGTCATGATCCCCGGGTCCTGGGATGGAGCCCCACATCGGGCTCCCTGCTCGGCGGGAAGCCTGCTTCTCCCTCTCCCACTCCCCCTGCTTGTGTTCTCTCTCTCGCTGTGTCTCTCTCTGTCAAATAAATAAATAAAATCTTAAAAAAAAAGAGAGAGAGAGCCTAAGAAAAATTGCTGAAGCAGGTGCAGTAAATTTGGCAGTTGTTGGGATAAGGGTGTGTTCAAAGATGAAACCAGGGTTTCTTACCTGGAGGGTTAGAGTGGTGTCATTAGCAGAAATAGGGGAGACAGGGGTGCCTGGGTGGCTAAGTCGGTTAAGCGTTTGCCTTCGGCTCAGGCTGTGATCCCCAGGGTCCTAGGATCAAGTCCCGCATTGGGCTCTCTGCTCCACAGGGAGCCCGCTTCTCCCTCTGCCTCTGCCTCTCTCTGTCTCTCTTAAATGAATAAATAAAATCTTTCCAAAAAAGAAATGGAGACAAGAAAAGGAACAGTTTAAAACGGGGTAAAAGATGATCAATTCCGCTTCAGATGACCTGAGTGTAAGGTATCTGTAGGACATTTAAGTGGAAATGTTCTGTACTAATAGCTATTTATTGACAACCTGTTATATACTGGATATTGTCCTAAGTCCTTGATGTAACTAATTGATCTTCACAATATCCTAGGAGACAGTTATTATCTTTATGTTATTGGTAAAGAAAAGATTGAAAAAAGAGATAACTTGCTCATGGTTAGACTGTGAAACCATTTCTTACCGACTTCAGAGCTCCTTCCTCTAACTTGGAAGTATGGGTCTAGAATTTCCGAGAAGGCCTGGGTTTGCAGGCAGTAGAATAAAGGCAATTGTTGAAGCCATAGAAGTAGCTAAGATAGGAATTGAAATAGACTAGGTAATAAAGGGAGAAGTACTATGAAAAGAATTTTAGATCCTGTCTCCATTGTGGGGATGAGAGGAGGAACTTCAGAAAGAGGAAAGGAGTGTTAAGAGAGGTAGGAGAA